AAATGTGGAACTTTTTGGAAGACATGGGTCCCGTTGCATCTGGCAAAAAGCTAACACTGCATTCCACCATAACAACATCATACCAACAGTCAAACCACAAGCAAGTCCACCTCTGAATGGCTCAAAAGAAACAAAATGAAGGTTTTGGAGTGGCCAGGTTAAAGGCCTGACTTAAATCCCATTGAGATGCTGAGGCAGGACCTTAATTGAGCAGTTCATGCTCGAAAACCATTCAACGTAACTGATAAAAACAATTCTGCAAAGAAGAGCAGGCCAAAATTACTCCACATGTAAAAGACTCATCGCAAGTTGAATCAAACATTTGATTGCAGTTGTTACTGTCAAGGGTGGCACAACCAGTTAATAGATTTAATAGATTTAATAGAATGATCATTTAAAAGCTGGATTTTATGTTGTCTAAACCACAATGTAAATCTTAATCTAAACCACACCTTTGGTTGAAGGACATATTGAGGGGAGGGGAACTTTGTGGCCTGTGAGAGGAAGAATATGGGCCTGAGTTCTTCACAGCTTCGACGGGTCACTAGAAGGCCGACTCCCCTTTATATTAAAGATCATGTGCAGGCGTGGATGAAGTAGAGGAGAAGGGGGAGGAGTGCAAAATTTCGCCACAGGAATGAGGAGGGAAAGACTAGTGGACAGTATGATCGGGGAGTCCTTGGCAAGTAGCTGAAGAAGCTGCTCCAATTCTGAAGGAATGAGCAGTAAATCGTTCTGCGGAAAACCGGTTAGTGAGAGAACTAGGCATAGCCAGTTTCTGTGATGAAGAGTGGGTCTGAGTGAGTGCAAAGAGGCAAGTACTAAGGCATGCTTTAACAAATATATTTGTTTTGCTTTGTTTGATATTAAAGATCATACTATCTCAGTTTAGTATAGTTAGGTCAGATAGGCAGGGATGTAAAGCAGGGTTGAAGGTTTCTGTCTGAGCTGTATATTCTGAACATCCCAGGAAAGCGAGGAGAAAATTGGCTTCTAAGGTGGTAGATATCGCCTTTGGGAAGAGACATCAGGCTCAGAAATAGTGGAGAGAAAGTTGCGACATGAAAGGGAAGAGGTAGGACACATAGCGAGTCCTGAAGAAAAGCCAAAGATTAGGTCATCCAGCAAAAAATAGAGGAGAAGGAATTATCAAGTCAAGTCAAGAGGCTTTTAATGCAATGAATGCAATGGTGCAGGATGCCAGAGGTTAAGGGCAGCTGATGAGGTGGAAGGTGAGGTTTGTTTCTTTGGATTTCTTTTAGTAAAAGTGAGATCTGAGGGTGGTTAGCTGTGGTGTGTTTGGATCTGTTGGTGAGCTTTATGAAGAAGTTGATCCCAGCTAAATAGACTCTTAAGGTGGAAGAGTGAATGGCCAGGCGCGAACTGTCAAATGTGAGAAAAGCAGCTGTTATTGAAAGATTGTCTGAAGGGAACGGTATGCTGTGAAGTGCATGAAAGTGCTGGATCCAATAAGTTGACAGAATATGAGGGGCGACTGTGCTTAAGATTATTTCTTGAGCTTGGAGGAGGAGCGGAAAGAACTGCTGGTGAGTTGGAGGAAGGAATCCTAATATGGTGGAGTCAGCATGAGGCTCTTCGTGAGGTGCCAAGGCTTTGAATTTATGAAACTGAAAACAAGAGAGACAGTCAGCAATAGCATTTGAATGGCCTGGGATGTGAATGGCTCAGAAAATTAATTGATAGGACAGAGTTCCAGGTAAGGCAAAGTAGGACAGGCATGGAGTGTTCGAGGCCAAGGAGAAGCAAACCAACAAAGCCTATTGAGGGAGCTGCGTTGGTGTATGCTTGCAGATCTTCAGGGATGGAAATGGCGTCTTCATAGAAAAAAGAGATGCTGTTCCAGTGCTGGAGGAGCAAGAGCCAGAAACAGAGCTCCTTGATACATGCATCATCCAGGGACAGTGAGGCGGTGGAGTGAGGGAACTGAGGAGGTGACGCTGAGGAGGTGGGAGATAATAGAGCATCCTTGCGCTTTGCACAAGAAGGGAGAGGAGCTGAAGCTTTGAGCAGCGAGGCTAAAGCACAAATTCTGACAGGGTGGTGGTAATGCGTCCTAACTTATTGGGTGGAAGGGAGGCCTGAACAAAACTGAGTCTACCTGAATGCCGAGGAACTTGAGTGATGTAGATGGGCTCGCTGTCTTCTCCCCCCTCCCATCCTCCACATGTTCTACAGGGGGACTGTGGAGAGCAACTTGAGCAGCTGCATCATCAACCTGGTTTGGAAAATTGCTGTGCCTCTGCCCACACTCTACAGCAAATAGTGAGGACAGCTGAGAAGATCATCGGGGTCTCTCTCCCCTCCACCACGGACATCCACACCACACGTTGCATCCGCAAAGCCACCAGCATTGTGGACGACTACATCCATCCCTCACACAGACTTTTTTCACTGCTGCCGCCTGGACACTGCATTTAATCATGTGCCAGAAAGATACATACAACTGAAAAACTGCAAATATACAAAAAGATCACCAAAGAGTAAGTTTAAGAGTAACCAACAATCACAACCAAAGGCGTGATATCCAACAAAAATTTAGACCAAGTAAAGGCAAAATCAATCATTCCGGGTTTTCCCAACAAGAAGCAGCAGTTACATTCTGGCGCCTCAGGCACCATTTAACCGTTAAATGTGTGACCGTTTGCTCAAACTGTCCGCGGCTCAGTCAGAATTGCACAATTACCACCAGGCCAGTTAAAGACCGCAATCTATGGTTCATTTTGTGCGGATTGACTGAAGCCTGTAGTGAAATTGTAGCGAAAATGACTACATTCAAAATCATACAAATCACTACAGCTATTAGCTACATTTCATAAAACTGTAGCAACTACAGCTACTAGCTACAAAAATTTGTAGTTAGCTACAAAAAGAAGCGCGCTACTTAGCTACTCCCCCATCCCTGGATCTAATCTGCTATATTCCTGTGTGTTGCCTCGTCACATACAATTTGTGGAAACAGCAACAGGCGAAGCACTCCAGATGTGTATCTTTGCTCTGCAAGTTGATATCTGATATGATAATCAAATACAGATCAAACTATTTCAGCACTTTCAACAGTTCAACATTGTATTCACTTACTTTCACTTTGAGAATCAACAAAGCATGTAACTTGAGTAGGGATGCCTACAAGTGTAGAACATGCCAGCATGCATCCTGCCTTGCAAAAACAAATAAATTTCTGTTCACCTGAATGTATGTATATTAAATTATTATGTGTTAAATACTATGTTTAATTATTTCAATACAAAATAATTTGTCACTAATTTGTGATTTTTCTTTTTTTTAAATATACTGAACTTATACACATGCAAAAGTGTAACAAGATGGAATAAGAATTAAGTAGACAGATAAACAAGTACAAAAAACAGTTGTTTACAAAAAACACCATTGCGTGAGAGAGAGAGAGAGAGAGAGAGACCTTCAGAGTCCCCACCATATAGTACATACAGTACTAAATAATCTCATTCTGAACAGATGTGGGGGTCTCATCAAGCCCCAAACTACAAGACTGCAGCGAGTCAGCAGACAGCAGTGCCGTCCAGCAGACAAGACAAATAAATACAGTGATTATTTATTTTGTCCACTAGATGGCGCTGATCTCCTGCTCCACTGTTTATTGACTCTGTACTGGCTCCATCAGATAAGTGACATAGCAGCTGACTGGGGACCCTTAACAACTTCACTGTACCGTTATGTTGTGTAATAAGAGGGGAAAAATGCTGGTTTATGATGTGTCAAATTAAAAAAGTACAAACCTGGAGCTGAAAATGTGGAGATTTTTTTCTCTTGACGCCTCTTAATTTTACAGAGAGCTCAGATTAATTTGGGATCCAAAAGGCAAAAAAATTATTACAGTTGATGAGACCGAGATGTTCTCCTCGAGGAACCTCTGCACTGAGAAAGATGGTTCGGTTCTTTAGTAAAGTTCCTCAGTAAAGACACTGATTCCATATAGAACAAGGAACACTCAAAGAACCATTTGAATGCTTAAATAGTTCTTTGCATGGTGAAACGGTTCTTCTGATTGATGGAAAATGTGTTGTATATGGTTCTATTTTAAACCTTTTTGAAAATGGTTCTATATAGCACCAAAAAGGGTTCTGCTATAGTTATGATGTCAAGCTTCTAACAGTAGAAGAACCATTTTTGGTGCTACATATACAACACATTCATCATCAATCTGAGGGACAATTTCACCATGCAAAGAACCATTTAAGCATGCATGGGAGTGTTCTATATGGAACCACTGTCTTTACTAAAGACCGTTTGAAGAACCATGTGTTTTAAGAGTGTAGGACAGACGGTGCGAAACATCAAGGACCATAACGGCTCTTTTTAACCTTAATTTTCAAAAGCTTTACCTACATAAAGCAGATTAAAAGCTCAAATATTATAACTTGGACATGATCAGGGTGGAGTCTCAGTATTTAATGCTTGTACGGTGCTGCCCAAGTGAGTTCAGTACTGTACAAAAAGTTCTGTCATTCAACACCAAACTTCAGTATGTAACTGATAAGTTCAGACGTATCAGCCTCTGATGCTGCTGATTGGCTGAACTACGTTCCACATTCTGCATGAGTACTGAGTTCAGTACTGATACTGAAACATTCTGAATCAGACTTAGATCTGACGTATATTGTAGAAAATAGTATATTGCTCTGTTTTTATAAGTAGATGTACCTACAGCTCATGTAAATAAAGTTAACTACTTTTATCAAACTCATCACCCACATGAACAGAGTCTGATCACTGACTTCACTGCTTTACCAGACTGTTTGAAATGAATGATGTGTGGATCTCAGATTAAGTGTAAAGTAGATTCTTATTATTTCCTTTTGTTTTATATAGTTACACAAATTGTCTTCTGTGTTGGTTTTATGGGACAGTCTGTTTATTTCTTCAGTTCAAATAGAAATACAAACAGAAATATTCAGAGTAAAACTACACTCTATTCACCTCCACACTGTTTATTGACAGTTCGGTTACAGAAAATGCTCTTACAGTAACTTTCATAAAGCACACACACATCACTACAGAGTGCAGCTGAGCAGAGAGTTCAGATGAAGAGGGTGGAGATCAGAGGAACCAGCATGATGAGGAGACTCAGTTTAACCCCCTCAGCACTGTTACACAGATCAGTGGCACAGCACTTCATACTTTTATTTTCTTCACACTTAGCCTGGGTTGTACACCCTTTCGTAATGGTTTTCTGGCCACCGCTTTCCTCTGAGAGAGAAAGAAAGAGATCAGAAAACATGATCACATGTAAAAGTGTATTTGCATGAGAAAAAAACATCTGAAACATCTCATTCCTACATCAAAAACTTGTAGTCATGTGAAAATTTACCTTGTGATCACATTATTTACATGTTTACTTGTCATACAGCATTAAGTTGTGACAGCTAAGATATTCTGCAGAACTTAATGTGCATTATTCTTACGGCTCATTGAAACTATATTCAACATTTACTGCATTAGTGATAAATATTTACTGACTTTGTGATGAATTACAAATAGGCAGATTTAGAGATGATCCAGCCTCTGCTTCAACTCAGTATCATAGAATACATATTTTCAGTTTAATATAGATAATGTTTCATTTGACACCTGATGTCAAGAAACATCAGCTCTATAATTTTGTTTAGATTTCATACAAATGACAAACTTTACTGCTTACAACTTTTCACACAAATCGGCTACAACAAACAAACAGCTGTAGAGTCTTAGATGAGGTTAAGCTTTATTTCTTACTGGTTGTGTGACAGCGATCTTCAGAAGAAGTACAATTCACAGGTTTAAGATCACATGTTGGCCTGTCACACTCATAACACTGCAGAGCTGCAGAAGGCTGTAAAGCTTCACAGATAAACAAACAAACAATGAACTGGGAATCTAAATAAACAAAATACACAGCAGGACATGCTTTATTAGCCTTTTCACAGGATCACAAACACAGAGTGAAAAAGCGAATCATAAATAAAGGAGCAAAAATAACATTTAGTTTTTCAGTGTCAGACTTTCAGACTGTTACTGACTTTTCTGTCCTACAAGAAAAACAGACCCTTAAAAAAAGTGAATGGTCAAAAGGCTGATGATATTTTGCATTATTTATTACTGATCAATTTTCATTTGTCTGAAGCTTAAATTCCCACTAACACTCTGCACAACATTACAGGTACACCGTGACTGCTGATATTTAGTTTCTACAGGATTTAAGATAATATTCCGATAAAGAAAAACTGCATTGTAAAACATCAGCTGTAAAATGTTCTTCAGAAAACTTCAACTTCACATTGACAATCACAAAATGACTTACAATAAAACAGTAACAATATTCAGTAACTAATAATAAACAATTGAATTGTAATTTACAGCCACAGTGTATGACTTTGTACCTTCTGAAAAAAGCATGTAGACGAGCATCAGAGTGACCAGCGTCTTCATTGTTGGTGAGTTTGAGAAGTTGAGAGTGTGATGGAGAGATGAGATTGAACTTCATTTATATAAAGTTCTGAGAAGGTGTGGATTTGAAGGCACTGTTCCTGTTTACAGCTCTCCACTGTTACAACATCACCTGCATTCTTTAGTCTTGTGGTTTTAAAGCCACATTTCAAAAGCCTTACATTGAACAACATGT